ATTTGATTTTAAATTCAAAAACCTAGGAATTATTTTAATAAAATTTTATAACAAAAGATAACAAAATTTGGAAAATATTTACTATATATATATATATAATTTAGAATTTTAATAATATTTTATGTAAGATAGCATAACAAATATTGAAATATAAAAATTTTTAATAGATTTTTTTATGAAAAATAATTACTCTAATATCTGGAGATTTATAAGTATTCAACTATATAATATTAATGTTACCAATTTATTTATAAAACTATGCTTATTGGAGTTTATAGGACCTTGTTTTTGATTGGATATTAGCAAAAAATTTATGTTTGATATTTCAGTAAAGTTGAAAAATTTCAAGTATCATGAGCATCGTTATAATCGTTATTTATCATCATATGTTCAAAATTACAAAATTTACAAAAAAACTTACTAATACTATAATATAAAATATTTTGTAGAACTTTGAAACATGGACTACATATACTAGAAAATGCTAGTCATGAAGTAAAAAACAATAAATATTATTTATTAAATAATGAGATATTATATCTACTTTACTGGCCGCTGACGTAGTATTGTGTCATTTTTTCATTTCATTTAATTTTAAAATGAATATATGATTTGAAAATGCATTAAAAATACTCCACTTCTTTCCTTATTATTTTTTTTATAAAATCATATTTTTGTTAATAATTTTTTATGTCGGTGGTCAGTTAAAATCCACGCGAATTATTTCACCTGTTTTTCTGCCTCGTTTGATTACCTTTGCCGAATTTACACCACGTGAAAATGATAGCATAGTGATAGTCTTAAAATACCAGAGTTATGAATGAATCCTGAGCCAATCAGGAATCCGATTCAAACGTAAGCAACCCCCTACTCAAGGGATGGTTTGAAACAGAATATATAAAGGCGGAAAATGACACTTTTATCAATAGACAGTCCGTTGTTGTGGGAGTGCACTACTCTCCTAATTATCATCTTTTTTATCATAATAATTATTATTAAAAATTAAAAATATAAGTTACGAATTTAATTTTTTTATATTTGATTTGATTTGTACAATATTTTCTTAAAGTGAGACTGTCAACGTGCTAGTAACATAATTTAACAAGTATTGAAATTTTTAAGAAGTGGATTAAATCTACAGACATATTCTACATAATTATGTAAGTATTTTTTAAATATTATTTAGTACTTTAGTATTTGTTAAGCTGCTATAATAAAAATGAAAATGAATCAAGTTAAAAAAAATTAATCTTCTATGTATAGAAACTGTTTTAACGATATAAATTCTGGTTTGAGTGGACTAATTAATACAATCCAAAAAACTTTATATTTTTTTCAATTTTATGTAACTAGAATTTACGTATCTTTTTCTAATTTATTGAATTGACGTTGTATCAATTTGCCAGTAATAAGAAATATAAAATTGAATCTATCTAATTAATAATATAAATTTGACCTTAAAATAATCATATGTGCTTCAAAACTATATTCAAAGCTTGCAAAGCTTTGAAATTGAAGCTTTGAAGCTAGAGTGAACAAATTTTGTACATATTACAATATGTGAGACACTTAGCTGATTTGAAAAAATATATTTTTCTATTAATTATTGCATATGTAAAATATATTACCAATCCAATTTTTTACTAACATTTTAAAATTTGTTGAAAACAAAGTACATATACAATTTCTTCTAATAATTTATGTTGTATGCTTGAAAAATTTAATGGATATCATATTAGGATATCTATTATTAGTCATTAGTAATTGATTATTACAATATAAGTATTTTTATGTAACACATACTTTTGTGAGAGTACTTGTAAAGTTTTTTTATGTACTAATGCACATATAATTATAACAATCTCGTGTTCTGAAAGAAATCTTAAAACTTGGTGCTAGAAAAATTACAGCAATTTATAAACTAATAAAATGATCTAATAAATTGCTTCAATTGAGTTTTGGCATTTTGAATTTTGACATCAATTTTAAAATATAATAAAATTTTTCTCAATTGATCAATAAGAGATAAATTATAGAAAACTTAAGAAATAAAAATACTTGTTCAAATTACAAAAAAAAATGCGTTCCAAAAATTACTAAAATACACAATAAACGACATTTTAGTGCTTATTGTTAGTCGAAAAGTGGAGTTAGTGGAATTCAAATGTATTCAAAACTAGTGGTGCATGGCATCGTGCCTTGAGCCAAATAGGAATCGAATGTTTTTTGTATCATTCAAATTGGCTGATCCGTATTTTCGAACACATACATCAACTTTTTCTATGATATGCCAAAATGTTCAGAAACCTTCCAAACGTAAATATATATAAAAAATTTCATTTTCGATTTTTTTGCAATTAATATAACTTACCCTAAGGAAAGTTAATGATTAGATTTTTTTGCAATTAATATAACTTACCCTACGGAAAGTTAATGATTAGATTTTGAAATAAAAATTAAATTGATGAATTTATATTTGTTCAAAACAAAAGTCATCTATCTACAACGCTTAACCATCACTTCAATTTTAGAAATGTTGTTTATTACAGAATTTTTATTTTATATACATCAATACAGCACCATTTAAACAAAAAGCATTAAATATGTAACAATTTGTATATTTTTGTAAGTTTGGTAATAGCATTGTGCAACGTTCTAATCGCATATTAACAGATGTGACAAGTAATCGGTTTTGATACATACTGAATTTAAAATAATTTTACATTAATTAAGTATGTTTTCATTAAAAAATAATAGGATATAAAATTAATAATGTAAATGGAAAAATAGTATAATATTTAAAATTCAATCAAAGTTTTGTATGGAAATAGCATGGAAAAATTTTAAAAATTTTTAAAAATGTTTTTTAGATGTAATTTAGTGAACAAATGAATAAATAAAACTCATTCATTTGTCGCTAACTTATACCTAAAACATTTTTTTTTAATTTTCAAAATTTTTCCATGCTCTTTCCATACAAACTTTGATTGAATTGCGCTCTATCTAAACGTTAATATTAAGAGCTAAAACTTTCAGAGAATTGTTTTTTATCTATTTGGAACCATTTAAGCCCCTGGGAGCAAGGAAATTCGAAAATGACCATTTTAAGGACCACCCTAATATATATATATATATATATATATATATATATATATATTCATTTACATATATAAACACATGCAAATGGAGTTTTTTGAACAATCGATTTACAATTCATTGATGTTTAGTTAAGAATGAGGCAATAGTAAATGCGTATTGCGCATTTACTACGGCACGCATACTGGTTCAGCCGCTTTTCTACTATTTGACCTAGAACTTGTATATTTTAAATAATTCCGCATCTAGAATGATATATATATATATATATATATATATATATATATATAAACAGTGATGTATTTGTGATTAAATGATTCAAACCTTTTCCGTTCACCACTTAATCAAATAGTGTAGTCTAAATACCAATGACTGTCAACCTTCGTTACTTTTAAGAGCTCGTATAAAAAAACTAAATGAAACTTTTTCACGTTTTCACTTTATTGTCCGTCTGTCCGTCTGTCCGTCTGTCCGTCTGTCTAGTCATTATTTCATTGATGATTGTATGAGAATCCTTCAATTTTATCTTCATTATTAGCGCTCTAAAACTATGACAAGTTTAATAATAATTATAAATGATGATTATTATTAAAAATAAATGAAATATATCAAAAAAATAGCAATTAAATTTAGATTATGTAAGTAGCTTTTCCGTGGCCTAGTGGCTAGAGCTATAAACTTTCAATCAAAAGTTTCAGGTTCGACACCCGATATACTTAGAAATATACTCATATATAGCAATATTTTCCAATAGATTTCGAATTTTCTCAAATAAAAATTCCTTCCCAACGTATTTCTCTATTAATAAACAATTCATCAGTATGTCCTAAATTGTAGTAACAAATATTCATCAAATAGAAATAGGATAACCGTATGAGTAGTTGTCATCTAAAAAATGCAAAGACATTAAAAAATAAAGTAGACTAACTCAAAGAACTCGATAAGTTCCGATTGGTGTTAAATATAAATACAAAAAAGGCGCCTTGATATTTTTATCAAAAAAATTTCCTAAAAAGTGAAAACAGAACTGCATTTTGTAGTATTTTTGTATTTAATTTGATAAATCGTGCTTCGAGTTGCTTTTTTTGGATTTCAAATTTACCATTTTCTTATGTTATATCTCAGAATATATACATATTAAAATGAATAAATTTGCCATCTGAATAAATGAATGTAAGGATTATATGGAATTTGATGAATGATGCACCAAGTTGTTTTCTTTGGACTTTAACTTTGCCATCTTTATAAGTTAAATTGCTGAATAAAAATTAAGATTTATAAATTTGTCATCTAGAAAAATGAATGTGGAGATCACATAGAAAAAATAATTCAAGGCCAGCATTACTTCGCAGCAATTAATATTTTTTTGATAATGTTTAAATTTAATTTGCTGAATGGTACCAAAGTTGCTTTCTTTGGATTTCTAATTTGGATTTCAAATGGTGCCTCAATTCGATTTTTTTGGACTTCAACTTTTTATATGATATAGGTATGTATAGAATACGGTTGATATTAAGTTGGATAATTTTGACATCTAAAAAATGAATGTGGCGATGACCAGATACAATCATTTGCATTACTACATTGCAATTCATATTTATCCTTTATGAAACCTTCAGCAAACTAATTCGTCTAGCATTATTTTTTCTCTATGACCGCTTACGATTAGAATTCCGATTAGGAATTTGTAATGAGGTCACATAACTACCGGAAGTTCATTTTATTACCCAAAAAAAACATACTTCGATCAAATTTCGAACTCATAGGTCCCTAAGTCCACGATTATATCGGATTGTGACCTCATGACCCGTCGGTGATAAATTATTCCCGATTATTATGTCCGATAAGCGTTTTTCTCGTCGGCTTATATCAGACGCACTTAGAGTCGTTTAGTATATCATTGGCATAGTCTGAATAAAGTCGAATTTGTAACTTGCTAATAGCAATTCGTAAACATGAATTTTTTTCGTATATCGCACACGTAAAGGCATCGGCCGAAATGTACGGGGTATCGGAATAATAAACTAAGACGACTATGCTACGAAAATGAGGATTTGAAAGATACACGAACAGGAAGAACAGTGATTTTGCCAAAATGACATTTTTTAAGGAAATACAATACAAAACAATGCTGGTAAGATAACCATATTTATACAGATTATTAAAGATAAATAATGAAAAAGTGGGCAAATTATTATAGTAATTCAATACTGAACCTACCGACAATTCTTATACAAATTCTTACCTCACGTGTTCAAATTGAGCGGGTAGTTTGGCCACAGAACAATATTTTGTTTTTGAAATATCGAACTATATCTGAAAGTGAAAAGTGAAGAAAATATTATGACAATAGTTTGAAAACAGTATTGTAAATTGTAATACTTAAAATATGTTGTTTTTCAAAAAGTTTGCAAACGGTCAATTTGACCGGTACTTGGTAGGTTTAGTATTAATATTACACTAAAAATAATATAATATTTTTTATTGTAATTGGATACATTTTTTCCATCAAAATTAAAAGATTTGAGCATTATTCTTCTAATTATCTTGCATATTTCTTATGCCAGTGTGAACCAAACACCTAGACTGATTTTGATGATTTTTTTTGAGTGTTTTTGAATTTTTCCCAGATTGGTTCAAACCTGTGCTATTATTATCGCAATATATTATATATATATATATTATTATATAACGAGAGAATACCAGTACTTGCAATAAAATAATATTTTTATGTTAAAAATAGTTATATTTTGTTTTTTCCCCCTAAGTTCAATGATTTTAGTTTTATTGTTTTAAATTAATCACAAATACCATTTTTTTAAATATATATTTCTTATGCTAGTGTGACCCATTTCTTATGCTAGTGTGATTTAATAATTTTTTTGAGTCTTTGAATTCATTTCAGTCGATGTAAGTTACACCAAATATTAAAATTAAATTACCACAAACGCCCACACTTAGTTACATATGATTTTGTATTAAAACCAAAATTATTTAACAAATAATTCAAAATAAGTTTTTTTTTGTAATAGATTTATTTAACAATCAGAAAATTACAATTTTTCTATAAGCTAAACTGCGAACTATGTGGGTGTTAAAATAAGATAGGATCCACTGATCTATCTTACATTATGTTACTTAATATATTTATATATATAACTAATGATTGTACTTAAATACTATGTAGAGATCACTTTCTCTTCAATCTTGAGTTTTGTTGAGGGCGCAGTAAATCCTTTATCGATTCATTTGGGTGCATCTCCAATCTGTTACGGTATTTAGATGATAGTTCTTTACATGTTTCGTGCACAGTAAGCATTTTTAGGTCGCCATAGACAGTTTTGTTAGTGACATACCAGGGTGAAAGTCAACATTATGGAACCAATTTTCTGATAAAGTAGAAATGTTAAAGCAACGTTATGTTACGGTCCTATCTTCATATAAAATAGTACTAAAAACTGTCAAAAAGCTATGTATTCGCTGTGCAGAAAGCTATGTATTTGTTGTTCAGGCGTTTTACACAAAAAACCTAACTTCACGTATGTGTTATCAATCATCAAAAATATGCACTTATGACAGTATTGTGATGCTTGTGCGTTTCTTACGTTAGGTTTTATATGCAAAATGTCTGAACAGAAAAAAATAGCTTCCTGAATGAAATTCACTTTATATATTCTGAAGTCAAAACTCACGATTATTTTTTTCTTTTCCCAAAAACAATAGTTTTGTCAACACACAAGCAAAAAGAACCATTAAAATCGGATGGTTATTTCTTTCAAAAAAAAAAAACTGCCATGTTTTGCACATTTTGCTCTGTACCTCCCAAACGGCTGGACCTGCCTTTGCCAAAAACTAATCACCACTTCGCCCTATCATTACGAATTGCACGTTTTTAGATCATTCGAATCGGATGCTCCGTTCTCTTAAAAACCATATTTCTATTTTCTGCACTCTTTGCTCCGTAACTCAAAAACGGCTGAACCGACTTTTGCCTATCAATAGGAATCGTATGTTTATTGAACCATTCTAATCGGTTGAACAGTGCTTTCGAAAACGTAGACAAAAAAATGTATCCATACATACATACACACATACACACACACATCAATTTTTTGTAAGGTATGCCAAAATGTATGGAAACCTTCAAAACGTGAAGATATGTACAAATTTTCGATTTAGATTTTTGAACGATTACAATAACTTTCCCTACAGGAAGTTAATAATAATTATAACAATAAAAATCATCCTCAAGTTGTAAAAAATACATGGACCAAAGCTCTCAAACCTTTTCATATACATACATATATATATATATATATATATATATATATATATAATCATAATCAAAAAAATAATCGGTTGATACAAATAAATGAACAGAAAAATTACTTATAACGTCTTAACGGAATAGTATCATTAGTTTTTGATCATAAAAAACTAAGTAAACTATTTGGGTACTTATGAATAGAGTATGTATTTATGTGTAGCGAATATTAATAAAATAAATAAAGAATACAAAAACTTCATTTATCAAATCATGAAAATTGTACCAACTATGACTTGTCTAAACTTGGTTTGCAAGGTTTTTGACTTCTTTTGACTCATGGCGAGATATGATTCATATGATGCAATTTATAAAATGTTATCGTAATATCATTACTCTAAAAAATAGTAACAGCTGAAATATTACGCGTATCATATTTTTTGAATACGACACCGAATTCTTCAGTTTTTTCGCCATTCATAGGAAATGTGACCATTAGATGACACAAATATAAAATAAATTGCACCGCTTGCGATTGTGATAAGAAATTAAATTAATAATCAATAATTAATAATTAAAAAGTAGACACATATAAATAAATTGCACTGTTTGCAATTGTGATATGAAATTAAATTAATAATGAATAAATAATATTAAATTTGACACAAATATAAAACAAAGTGCACGGCTTGCGTCTGTGATAAGAAATTAAATTAATAATCAATAATTAAAATTAAATATTTACATCATTTCTAAATTTATAAGATTTGAACATCTCAGCTAACACAAATATAAAATAAATAGCACCGAGTGTGTTTGTGATAAGAAATTAAATTAATATTCATTATTTAATATTAAATATTCAAATCATTTCTAAATTTATAAGATATGAACATCTCAGATCGATTTTAATGTATTTTGCCTGTATTTAAATTTCCGTAAATTCGAATATAAGTTAGTAAGTTTCTCTTTTATATTATATGGAGGAAATTATAATTGGTAAGTAATTTGGCGTTATTTACACAATATTTTTTATAAATCAATAAATTATAGTAAAATTATTTCTTAATTGTTTCTAAAACGTTCCAACATATTTGAAAATATAGAGTCACTGTGTTCGATTATAAAAAAAAAAATAATGTTGGCAATTATTTATTTATGTCACCATGTCATATGATTTTTTAACTTCCCATAAGATAAGCTATAGAAATCGCAAAAAATCAAAAATTAATTTTTATATTTATCTATACGTTTCAGAGATTTTTAAATATTTTCGCATCGCTTAGAAAAATAGATAAATAGAAATAGAAATGTCGACGATTTCGGGAACAGTTTAACAGATTTGAATGATTCTATAAACATTCGATTCCTATTGATAAGGAGACGTGGTGATTAGTTTTTAAACAAGGCAGAACCAGCCGTTTCTGAGATACAGGGCAAAAAGTGCTAAAAATCTTAATTTGGTTTTTAAGAGAACGGAGCGTTCGATTTCAATAATTCAAAAAGCAATTTACTTGTATTGACAAAATGAAGAACTGATTAAAGTTTTGAGAAAGCAGGTTTAGCGGTTTCAGAGATCCAATATACAAAAAGTGAAAAAAAAACACTTGGCCGGCAAAAATGATCATTAGACATATGCACATCTAATTATCACATACTTTATAAATATTTTAATAATAAGAACAAATTTTGTTAACATTTCTATGGGTTCCGTACCAATGTTTATCCGTTACACTACGACGCAGCGCCCACGCGCTTTGATATTTCGTTTATCACGCAGTTAACGTATCGCGATTGCTTTGAAAAAAAGTTCAAAATATACAAAATAGTTCAAAGTATAAAAAAAAACAATTTTTTCAAAAAAGTAAACTTTTTCAAAAAATTTAAAAATCTCAGGGTTCTAAAAAAAATAGAATCTTTTTTTTTTGAATCTTTTTTTAAAAATTTCAATTTTTGGTACGGTAAGTTCCAGCAATTTGCCTTAAGGCACGATGCCATGCACCACTAGTCTATCTTTTGTACTTATTAGCCTCCATATAACGTGGTACAAATGTGACTTGTACTAATTCTGAGTTTTTTACATCGCGTTTCCTATACAACGTATAATTTATCAAATGATTTTAATATTGTAAATAAAAAAATGACTCACAAACGTTCGTTTATTATACATATTACACTTGCAAACATACATCAATATGTTTCGCTCATAATATTGCGCAATAATTCTCAGTTTTAGTTATATATTATTCATTATTACATTTATATTTGCTCTAAATTGCACTGCATTTCGTCTCTTTTGGGTATACTTTTGTACATATTCATGAAACTCGATTTATAAATTCTCGGAATTCAAAACAAAGGCATTCGATTTATTAATAGTGACGGACAAAAAACAGTCCACTGATCAGTATGCCATCGACTCCCACAGGGAGACAAATTCATTTTGAATATGGAAATTGCTATTCAAAATTATAGATGTGAATATGTAAATGTACAATTAAAGTTTGAGGTGATGGATAATATTGCACTGATGATAAATAAAACTCATAAAAACATAAAAATATTAGAAAACCAGTGGTGTATGGCATCGTGCTTTTAGGCAAATTGCTGGTACTTACCGTACCGTAACACAATGTTCGAGGAGTATTAAATGTTTTCAAATAGATTATTACAAATACTGTAACATTGTCTAATATTTATTTATAAGAATTATATAAATTGAATTACAAAGTTAAAATTATTCACATAAAGTATATAAGTGAGCTTTAGAACTTTAACCAGAGTTAAAATTGAAATCTCAATTATTTTAGATATTCAAAAAAAAAAAAAAAAAATAAAAAAATAATTGAAATGAAAAGTTTTTTTTATAA